TAAAAAATAACAACCAAGGTCAAAGTCTTTTCAAAAGTAGGCCAGTCTATAAAGTCAAGATTAAGATAATTATATTCAAAGAAAGATTGGACAACATGAAATAGACAGATGAAGTACAAAAGTATGGTACAATTTTAACTGTTGAAAAGTTACGGCCAATGATAAACATGATAAAGTTTGGTTTGCTTTTGCAAAAGTAGGTCAAACTCAAAGATCAAAGAAATGGTGAACACAACCATCAAGCTTTTTTCCCCACTTTCTATGAACTACAAGTTTTAAAATAAAAATCATTCCTTTTAATTCATAAGAATACCGCAAATCATCTTTTATTTGCAACATCTTTTTATTCAGGATAGAACTTTCTTGATTATTTAACATTTAAGATTGATTGATTGATTGTATATTGTTTAACGTCCCTCTTGAGGATTTTTCACTCATATGGAGATGTCACCGTATGCCAGTGAAAGGCTTCAAATTTAGACCTATACTCGGCACTCAGGGCCATTGAGCAGTGAGGGTTCTTTATCGTGCCAGCGCCTACCGTGACACGGGACCTACGTTTTTAAGGTCATATCCGAAAGACCCGTGACTTTCACTTCTAGTGCCGAGCGCTTGGCGAAGGAACAGTCACTACCTTTGTTTACATCTAGGTATGACGCGGCGCCGCGAACGAGAATCGAACCCGGGCCTCCCGATCAAGAAGCGAACGCTCTACCACTAGGCTACCGTGACCGGTAACATTTAAGAAGATAGTTTTAAGTCCTAGTTATTCCATCAAGTTTTGAATATAAATACTAACGAGGTACCCTCAATCCAAATGCAATCTAATTGTATTGGCTTTTTACATGATAAAAAACATAGAAATGCACTTATTTCAGATCTTAATGACATTTACAAACGTAAGTGAAGCAGTGCGGAAACCATAATGTGACTTGGCTGTCATTATGTCATGGTGGCTCCAAGTTTAAGGTTGGTCTGAAATGGGAAAGACGACACTAACAATAAAATGTCAAAGAGTCTGGTAACCTAGTTTACAATGAATATGAATGTTGCTTGTAAGGATATACAAGTCTAGTAAGTATGTTAAAATCACATCAGTCAGAATTTGGTCATTTATAATTCCAAAACTGAAAATGGTACCAACATCCCAATACTTAGTTTTCAACAATATGGAAATATACTCAAGAAACAAAATAAGGTCAACTATATATATGGTGCAGCTTAAATTCCCTTTGTTGTGTGTGTGTGTTTGTTAGTGAGTCAATGTGTCCTTTGTGTGAAATGGAAGATATGTACATAATTTGCATCAGGATCGATGTCGAATGCTGCTTTGACTTATAAACAGATATGCTCTTTGCGAGGGGATATTCCTTTTTTTTTTTTTTAATTATTTACTTATAGGACTGAGCCTGCTCAAAAAACCTAAACATGGTCACTCATCTGCCAAAGAGTTTAGTCATCAAAAACAGTCCTGGTTTATATGAAACAGCTGTGACCATGCACTTTTACTCGCCAATGTTTAGGTAAAGAAAAGTTCTTCCTGATTAACAGCTAGACCAGAATATTGTAAAATTTACAAATCAAATTTTCCTGAAGGAATCCATTCAATAACCAATCTGTCAAATGAATGCACATATTGCCAATAACTAGAGGTAATATTTTGGATGATATTTTCATACATGACAAAAACCTTATTACCAAAGGGAATATATTGACACGCTTCTCATAAAATATCAACAGAGTAAAACCTGTAACTTTTTCTGATAGAATGCATTTTATACATAATGCCATCTGTTGGGGTATTGATTTAGCTCTCCTGAAAATCATTAAAAGTATAATATTGAAAGAACGCAATAAAAGATTGACTACAAGAGCCACCATGCCCAGCTGTGGACATTACAATATATCCAATGTAATGAGAGATGAATAGATTAAACTGTCCTTGGTGTTAATGTAAATTATCATGATTATTGGTGATTGACAGATCAAGGCAGTACCCAGTCATATTTAAAATAGTAGGTATGCTTGTGTCATGACCATAGGCAAATGTACTGTTAAACCTTGTCAAAATCAATTGGGCCATTAGAACAAAATATGGGATTATCCAAGGATTCAAGATATGAAGAATGAGCATATTGAGAGACTGCAGATTGAGAGGCTTTATGAAGATTCATTCTGAAACCTTTCGAATACATGAACTGAGAAAAAAAACAACAAGAACAAAACCCCAAAAAACAAAAAACACCCTCGCTGATGAGCAACCACACTGATGAAAGGATTCAAAGTCATGCATATTGCAAAAGATCATATAATTCAGCTTTGTCAAAGTGTAATACCAAACCCATTTAAATCTAAATTGGTAGCGGTACATCTAATATTTATAAATTCAATCAAGTAACTTATAAGATGTTTTATTAATCAGGATATTTCATGATTATATTTACGGTTAGAAGAAATGCTGTACACTGGTAGTTCATAAATTGTGGCATACTGTAATGTATGCAGAAATTTATATGTATCTGTTTTACCTGTAGAATCTGAACCTCAGGTTTATGGATCCATCATGATAAAGTGACTTCATGTCTTCATTGCATGAAAGTGCTTGTAGTCTTTATGACTTATACATTGTTATACTGGGCCTGTTATCATGGTTATTCTTGAGAGGAGGATCTCAACATACGTCTCATATGCTCTCTTGGTCTTGCTGTTCCTGAGATGATTTTAGATATTAAGATTTTTCTTTTATTAAATCCCATACTTTGATGCCATTGGTTGTCTCCATGCTACCCATGTTTAGGGACAAATTTTGAAAAAAAAAAATCTGGATCACCATATAAGAAAGCTTATAAAAATTGTTTTATCATTTCTGACTTGATGGCTCCTGTGAATTAAGATTTTTCAATTTAGATGACTCTATCCTATTTCTTTATTCAATTTTCATGAAAGTGGATACAAGACTTCATTGAGCTAAAAAACAATTGAGGATGCTTTATCATAAGTTGATTTGAAACTGACTTTTAAACTGTGAGATTTTCCAACAGTTGAAAATGAAACCAATTTTAGTAATAGGATGGTAGCAATAGGCCACCAGAGTGATTAAGATTACCTAAAAATCAATACATTATAAATATGATTGACAATTTTTAGATGGGGGTCATTTGACCCCTATCTATTAGTTTACTGTAAGTGATGCCTCAAAATGGAATCCTGAGTTGAGTCAACATGGTCAAGCACCTCAATTAAATCTTCTGTAAGGAAAACTGTGCTGGAAGTATTTAACTTTAAGTTTAAGCATAACTTCTTATAATTAGATTAAAATCAGTTCAAATATATCTATGAAATTAAGAAAGACACATTTATACCACACCATAGCCATGATAGCCTGGTGAATGTTTTAATTTTTTACAAAACAAAGAAAAGCTGGAGACCAACACCTTGAAGTTAAAATTGCGGAAGATTCTCACGTGTGGATACCGGAAGGTATTCAATAGGGTCTGTAACTAAAGTTATAAACTTAAAAGTATAAAACAGATCACCAACACTTCGTGAGAATGCAGCAGTAAATTTATTTTGTTGACCGGTTTCGACCTGTGACGATCGTCATCAGAACCACGACCACGATGATGAAGACCGTCACAGGTCAAAACCGGTCAACAAAATAAATTTACTTCTGCATTCTCACGAAGTGTTGGTGATCTGTTTTATACTTTTAAGTTTTAATTTTTTTTCATCAAAACTTAATTCGACTTAACTTTTCCTTCTGTGTCTAAAATTTTTGATATTTAAAAAAAAATATTTATAGAATTTATATTTTTGACATTCATCACACTTATTTTCATTTCAAAATGTTTACTGTACTTCAGTACAGGACACTGTAGCACTAGGAAACACAGTGCAATCAAGCAATTATTTTACCTCAGTCCACATCACTTACAATGACGGTAATATTAAATGTTAATTACTATCAGGTACAGTGGAACCTCATTTATCTGGACGCTACAAATGACAAAGCATAAAGTCTTAAGCTTAAAATAAAGGAACAAATATATCCGCATGTATCGTTAAAAGTAGTATACAAAAATACTCTCACCTCAAAACCTTAATGAATACAAATGTGAATTCAGTTGATAATTTCTTTAGGATTATATAGAAAAACTTCAAGCCTAGCAATTAGTTACTGAAGCATTCTAACATTAACCCTGAAATGCCTTGTGGCTAAGAAGCTTCATTGAAAGTTCGGGGGAAAAAATGATGTTATCACGGAGATTACAGATGAGAACATGTGATGAGAATATACCCTGAGAGAGACAGTCGCAAGATGAAATCGATACAGGGCCGTAAAGTCATCACAGTGCAGAGAACAACATAAACTATAAAGACAATGGTCTAACGATGTCAAATTTCAGTCCATTACAGAAATTGCACCATTTCCTATATAAAGTGGTACAGCTGTGATTAGATTAGTGGAATATGAGAACCCCTTTGCATCATATTTGCACGGTTTAATATTGATAGAGGAACAAGCTTGGAGGTATCTGATGCCCGCAGTTGGCAGGAAAGTCTTTAGCCGGGTGATCAAACAAATTGTGTCCAATAATCTTAATTGACAAAATGAGAAGCTTTAGAAAGTTCTTAAGGCAGAGTAAAAAAATCTGTTAAGTGCAGCAGGATAAATCAATTTACATACAATATAATATTGATCAAAAGTAACAGTGGACGGAAACATCACAATGAAATCATTGCTGTGAACATTTCTGCAAGGACTTTATCTGACGGATTGCCTGCTTCAGGGAGAAAAGAAAACGTTTAGAAACTGTACAATACTTATCTGATCTTTTTGTTCATCTACGCATTAAAGCATCACGTAATCCTTCTGTATGAGCATCACTCTAACTGGATATAGACAAATTAGTGGGAGAGTAGCTTGGAACAATTATTGTAAATATCGCCGTTATTTTTATCTCATGAATGAAAACAGCAACATAATCAGGAATTTTAAAAACAACTGCCCAGAAACTTGAAGGAAGGACAACTAATAATGCTGGGATAAATAACTAAAATTAATTAATGTGCTTCCAATTCACTAACCTTTTCTAATCATTTCTAAGGTAGACTAGTGAGTGAAAAATTCAATCCCTCGGAAGACAGAATCACGACAGTGTCAACTAGATGCCTTCATTATCTGGGCTTTAAATCTAAGATCAATGATATTTTAAAACAGACTTGGTGCGTCACAGTACCGTACATAGTGACATGAGACCTTTATCTATACTCTGTCTCTGCTAATAACTACAACCTAGAACTTTCATCAAGCCTTAATTGAAGCCTGTTGAACGTAACTCCGAAGGCAATTTATTGAAATTTACTGGTGTGGACAATCACCTCATCCACTGCAGCTACTTAAAATTGTTTTCAATGAAAAGTAGTGTGATGTAATTTTTCCAATACTATATTGACTCTCCTGCTTTTAGTCAGTGCAGTGACAGTGAGAAATGTATGCCACAGTGCTCTCTCCTCATACTAATCAATACAAAGATCGTACATATATATCTCCCCCGGAGGACTGCTCTACCTCCTATCTGGATGTTTATACTTCAGGAGATCGCAGCTTAAACAAAAAGTACTAGTATTTGTGAAGAGAACTCAATGAAACACTGAGGACTTCTAGGATTTTTCCTGGAACTTACCACTAGGGATTAATATATGCACAACAGAAGTTAGAGTGAGTTGATTTGAGTTTGGAATTAATTTGCTATCCAGTGTAACAAGAGAAGATTTCTTAACTACTCCGTCATTACAGAAATGGCCCATCTTTTCCGTGAGTTATCCATTTCTGGGCTATTGCCTGTAGGACCGGATGCTCCTTAAGTGGTTGTATCTGCATCAGTTAAGCTGGTTTCAATGCAGGAACTCTGATTAATAGGAAAGCACATGCAAGAACAACAGAATGTTTATGACAAAGGCGAGGCAAAGAAATAATTCTAGCATGCTTAAGCTTGGTTATAGCAGCAATCACATGAACTTTATCTGATTCTGTGAAAGCTGTATTTCATTAGAATTGGAACATTTTACGAAGATAGACATTTTACCTCAAATGGTTTTGTTTGTACAATCAATGTGAAAATTCAATCAGGAACCTGATGTGTATAAAATATAACGTCATTTAAAATGGAGGAGGGCAACGAGACATTGAACTTAACAACAACAGAATTCATGCAATACAATGTTTCAGTGAGATTGGAGCTGTATTCCTGGATATTTTCTGTAATAGTTTTGTGTTTGTCTATCCTTGTAGGAACCAGTGGCAACATCCTTGTCATCATTGCTATGTGCAGCAATCGACTCTTCAGAAAGGTACGGTATGCTCTTCTCCTTCTATTAATGGCTGCCGCACTCTTCACAGACCTTGTATATTGTCCAGTGGAACTGGTGAGGATATTTCTTTATTCCAATTCTGACACCTCATGGATGGATCTGAAATATGTTTCCTCCAGTATGTATTTAATTGTCTTTTCTGCCATTTCTTGTGTTTTGCTATTCATCAGTTTAAAGAATCTTTGCATCATAACCGAGAAATTCACACGTACCTACAGATATGCCTTGTGTGCATTTTGTGTGGTTACAGCTCTACTAGTTATTCTGTGTCCTGCTGTGGGATATGGCATACTCTCCAACATGGATGAAGAGAATAACAGTTCTTTTGCACCTTATCATATTCTGAATGAAAGAGCCTTCCTCTTCAGAATCACCTATTTCAGTTTGTGGCTGATGATTATCCTCTTTGTTTTGGTGGGGATGATTTCTTTTATGGTAGTCACATACAAAGCAAAGCAATCAGACCTTGATCTATCATCAGACTTCTCTCATCCTCATTCACCAGACAAAGCTAAAATACCTAAGGTGCTTGTTAAAAAATCAGAAAATTCTCTTCATTCTGATGAGGAGGAAGAAGAAGAAGAGGAAGAAGAACCTGGAAATCGTCTTCTGGATTCCTATTCTGGAAAGGAAGACAATACTTCAACGATTGGAGATCTACCCTCTCCATCCAGATCCAAAGGCAGCCACTTGGGTGTAAATATGGCAGCCTACTTAGGCAGGAGGAGGCATACAATAGGCCAGATAGGAACAACGGGCCTGGAAACAATGGAAAAGGCAAAACAATATAATTATGTTCGTAAATTTTCTGTGGATATTCAAGCGCTGCAAGCGCAGTTAGAAAATCCAAAGAGACATGCATCAGACTTTCCATTTTCATCTGATACAGAAATTCAAAAATCTCTTCAAAAATCAAATAATAAAGAAGACATTTTAAAGAGAATCAGACTCGCTCAGCAATCACCACTAGTGCAAAACAACAAAACTTCTGACTGCGAGAAAGAAACAAATAGTGATTCCCAGAGCAGTGGAAATAGTGAGAAAGCTTCAAATGAAGTGTTGCATGAATTACCTCCTTTACTGACATTATCAGAAACAACTGCAGATGAATTCAGAGAGAGAGCACAAGAGAAGGACCCCTCAGCAAGTTTTATAAAGCTCTCTTGCTCACTTGTCTTAACGTTCCTCTGTTTCATGCTCCCTATGTTCATAACAGAGACTCTTAAGGAATTAATTTCTGTGACAGCCTACATTAATGTACTCTCCTCTACGTTAGCATTGTCTACAGCACAAACAATCATCTTCCCGTTGATCATCTTATTTCTAGACATAAAAGTGCACACATGTTTCCAGAAGATGGTGTCTTCACTGCATTTGAAATGTTTTGGATTGTGTTACCAAAGAGAGGCTGTACCGTCATCCAGTCATGAGGAGGAAGACATTTCTAACACACAAGTCTAGAACATTACAGCTTTTATAATACTATGTACTACCTAACCTCTCTACCACAATGACCTAATGATAAAACCTTAGAAAAATTACTGGTTTCATTAAATAAGTCAGACAATGACTAGAGGATTTAACAAACTGAATAAGACTATTTTTCTCCATCAAATATGGGTTAATCATTCCATCTTCAGAACAGGAAAGTTTTAAATAAGTAAACATCAAACATTCAGAGTGAATTTTGAAATAATTTTCTACTCTTCTCAATAAAAATTGGTTCTTTTAGAACAAAGATCCTGATGTAAAACCACATTAAATATTCATGTTAATGTTTAAAGTCTTAATATGTTGTATTCTTTTATGACCTATTATAGTTCATTAAAATTAAAATGAAGCATTATTCCTAGAAATTTTAGGTAGTAGTGAAAAAAATTACAGGAGAATAATATAATCAACAAATTTACAAGCAGTTTTGGAAAAATCAAAAGCAGATTTTACAGTAAATTTGTCATAAATTTTGTCTTCATACAACCAAATATGAAATTAAAGGCTACTGCACCAGCAATACAAATACTGTCCAGTAAAAACGTTCTACTTGTCCATTTTATTAAAGAGTGAAAACAGTTAAGGTACGGAACAGACAGAGCAAAGTGAAAATTCGGAATGAATGGAGCTTAAACCCTCAAAAAATGGTACAGAAACAAATAATAAACTGTATACTGATATAACATAACAAGACAACCTTTTGTAATGAAAATGTCTTGATCTTTAAAATAAATAATCTTTTTTGTTAACTTAACATTATATACTTTCAGTGCAATAGTTTGCAAAATTAATATCTGGATAACTAATTCTCCATCTAATAAAATAATTATGCATGTATGTAGTGCAAGTAAGTATGATATATTATCATAGCGATAACAAAGAAAGATAATCATATATATTGCAGATCTTGAATCTGGTCCATTGGATCTTTATGTTCCTATTAAGTTTACAATATCTTGTAAAAAAGGATCATTCCATTTTTTTTTTTCAATGTTTATCCTCAATGTGCAGATTGGTTTTGAGGCAAGAAAAAAAAACCAAACACAAAATAATTAAATAACAAAATAAAACATGGAAATATTTGCAATATATTTTACTCACTGAAATATGGCTCGATCAGCTTTTTTTTTTTTTTTAGATTCGTTATTCAAGTTCCATAGTACATGTATTACCATACAAAGATATGAAATAAAAAAAATCAATATAATTAATGTCTACTATTATTTTCATTTTTTAAAAATTTTGTTACTCTGTGAAAAAAATCCTCAATAATTTTTTTTAATTTTAATTATTCTCTGTTTTTTCCATGATAGGGTGTGTGTGTGTGTATGTTTCATGAAGAAAGATTGACTTTTTATTGTAAGGTTGATGCTATATTATTAAACATAAAAAAACTTGGAATGGCCTGTTATATAAAAGGGTATATGCATATCTGTAATAACATGAAAATTATTTATTTTCTCTAGGACATATTTTATGTATTTTGTTGTCAATCATTAAAGGCATTGTATATACGGTAAATTAGCAATTTTTCATAAAAATTGATACAGTACCAGATAATAAATTAATAATTGTACAAATTTGAATAAAAATCTAGTAATATGCCATTTTTTGCAATTTTTTGTCATAATTTTTTTTTTTTATAAAGTTTTATGACAAGGTCTAAAAATGTGTAAAATTTTAAACAGTACCTATGGATGAAATAGATAAACCAGTTTTGTAAAAAGAAAAATTAAAATTGCAAGAAAGTAGAAATTGAAGCTTATCTCCTTATGTTGTGAATTTAAATGCACCTTGTGAACAAAGTCTGGTCCTTCAAATTAGACCTTATAACTAGAGGTTATGTTACAGTAGTAGGTGAACAAGATCCCTGAGATCACTGCTCGAAGACTACAAGTGCCAAGCACAGGTCTTCATAAATTTGCAGCTCTTCAAGAGCAAGTCGTGATACCTTGATATGAGTGAAAAATTCTTGAAGGTACATTAAACAAACTAACAAAAATTCATTAAGTGTATTCCTTAAAAATTTTATTTTATTGAAAATAACATAATTGCACTAACCATACTATAAATAATCAGAATCAGTGCCCATGCAGGTTACGCTCTGTATAGAATCAATACAAACCAGCAGATAATTACATGTCCAAAAGAACTGCTTCTATCTATTTCTCTATAACCAAACTAGACAGGTTGTGAATAAAATTACAATATTAGAGCTTGTATAATTGCAAATTTGTTTTTTAACAGCCCCCAGAGAAAAGGGGGGTGCTGCAAGAAAATTATTTTATCATTAAACAGCAATTTTTCTTTCACAACTAGGCTGTGATGTATGGTCAGAATTCATTTCATATTTTATTGATTTTTTTTTTTTCCGAAAGACATGTCTTTATAAAGACCAGAGAAAGAATAATATCTCAAGAGTTAGAAAAATGATGTTTCACCAAGAATCTCTAGGCAACAACTCTGACATGTCATCAACATTACACGCATTAAAGAGGCATATCATGGCGTGCTGATGAGAAGGCTGACAATTATTTCCATTTTCCCCTCATTGTGTTCAATCACAGACAGCAATTACAGTCCTATGCATTTCACATGATAGACATGATAGAGGGATGGTTAACGCAATTTTCCGATGTAGTCCAAAGTGCAGAAAAAAAGGACGATTCCGGTGTATGAGTCTTTGTGAGGGGACTAACAATACAGAATACTCCGGGTGTTGACCCATTCACGAACATTTCATAAAAAGAAAGAGAATCTGGCCTAATAAGCTTCCAGCATTCAAAAGAATTTATAGACGACAAGAACAAAATTACCATTGATCTTTCAAAAAGATATTCTGATGCTTTAAGACAAATTTTGAAGAAAACCATTAATGACAAATGCTTTTTGATTTCAATTAGGGAATATTGAAATTAGGTTTCTTTAAAATAATTATCATGCAGAATGAACTGAATTTTAGTGTATAGAAACCTTGAAGGGGCTTTATATATATATAGCCTTTGTGGAAAACAGGGAAATGGTCAAGGAAGGGAGCTTCCTCAAATTATACATGCATTGTTTCCCTGTGTCACTGATCTTACAGAGGACTGCATCTGACTGGCATCTTTGTAATCCATCACTAATTACAAGACGTACCCTAAACATTCATATGATCACAGCAGGATGTTGAAATGGCATAATTCATCACGAAAGTCTAGACCCCAGTATCAGTTCATCTTGTGTCAAAGACCTCATCCTAATTAATGACTTGATATAATCCATTTTTGTAATAATTTTCAGCATAATTAGCATGTTTGGCAAATCAAAAGTTAATAATTATTTAGCACTGTATGACATTCATTTTCAGTTTCATGACTTGTTTTTATTCTATTTCTTTTTGGTCTTGGACATGTACGTTGTATAATATTTTCCTAAATAAATTTACAAAATCTATTCCCTTTTTCTCTCATCATATACATGCATATTTTGGTCAAAATCATATACATTTTTTTTTCCAGGTCAAAAGCAAGATTTACGTAGGTCATTAATGGAAATATCTTAAAGTAAAAAAAAAAAAATCCTATAAATAATACTGTAAACCAACTTTTAAGCACTCTGTGGACATTAACTTTCGCGACAAGCCCTCTGGAATTATTTTTTAGAAAAAGAGAAAACATCAATTTGAAAGTAATTCAAAAAAAAAATATATACATGATATAGCTTAGTTATCTATACATGTATTACCCAAAAAGTTAAGTTTCTATTTTAAGACTTGATGTTATAAAAAACACACAACAGGAAATTTTCAGTTCCAAAAAGCAATGTGAATGACCTCTATACAATTTTCAGACGAATGACAATTTATCTTATGGTTACATAGTTGGTAGATTTGTTAATTGTTTCTTGTAAACCCCATAAATAATCAGCCATTGATCAACCCCATCTGTGTCTACAGCAGGCTAAAAACTTCATTGATTTTTTAGCTTAAGGATTTGTATAAAATTACACCAAAGCCAAAGACTTTCTTACCCAAATACATTACGTGCACAACTCCTTTTTTATGTTTGCCCACAGACTAATTGATAAACCAATGACAATTATGGGTCTAGTCATGAAAATATATTTGTTGGAGTCTATGATTATCTCTGTACTCAGAAGGGAATGACAGTAAAGCACCAATAAATGTATAGACTCTAGATGATGGAAAACCTCATCTAAGAAGCAAGGCCGGGGTTGTGTGCAAGATTCTCAGAACAGTTTTATCAGCACAGCCTACTACAGGAAAACTGAAATATTTGGCACTATGTGTCTTGCAGTAGAAAGCAATATCGAGCAATAACTGACATTCAATCTTCAGATTAAAGAATTTAAAACTGGAAATACTATATATATGTATTGTAATAATTAATGACATTTTAAAATTCATCAAAATACTTGTACTTTTAAAAATAGAGAATATTATGTGGCATATGGCCACGTCAATATAATCATTTTTTCACAAAAAAGTAAATAAAATACAATGTAAGGTGAAAAAAGTATAGCATAGCTATTCTTTTTTGGTTCTTTATAAAATAAAATAAAGTGTAAAATTTTGCAATTAGAACTGGATTCATAAGAAAGAAAAGTAAATTCTCATAATATTACTCCATGCTCTGTGTTTTTATATACCTGTCACCTCTCATCATGCTGATCATTAGAGGGACACATTAAATTGTAGAATGATTTGTTTGAACAATACTCTGCTGCCACTGATCCTGTTTAAGAAAGTAGATTACACACAACCTGACATCCATACAAACTCTAATGAAGATACATGGCTCAATGATCTTCATTAAAGCCCATACAGTAGCAGAATACAAGGAGCTCGAATCCTACTTAAACCTACTGAATAAGGTGAATTCGGCTGCTTTTTTTCAAAACAAATGCTAAATGCTGTTATGTACGTCATCTCCAAAAGGATGGTCAATTGGTGAATGGCTGGAATCTGCAGGTCAATCACTTATCTTTCCTAAGATCACTTCATAGGTCACATTTTTACTAGGGTTATTTTTTTTATCATTCAAGTCAATCACTTACCTTTTTCTAAAACCACTTAAATGGTCACATGTTCTACTATTGTACCGGTCAGTCACTTACTTGTCTTCTCCTAGAACCACTCCGAAGGCCACGTGTTCTACCCTGGTCAG